CTTGCCCTCAAGAAAAACTATTATACAAGAGCGTAACCAACTTGGACTTTACCAAAACTTAACCAACTTGTGGGAAGGGAAACATCCAACTCCAGCTTCCTCTAGCCTTCTGGTCTCACCTAAAGTGTAGAGGGTAGCCAAGAAGCACTTGTGAAAGTCACAGATCAGGTACAGAGGCTCACTAAAAGACTGAGACCTAATCGTAGAACACGTCCTATTTTCTACGTAGAACACACCTTAACACCACATCAGTAGTACTCCTGTATAATCACAGGGGGTTACACGAAAAGAACTTCAAGCCTCATATCTTATTAAGCAGGAGCCTCTAGGGAAACTCAAAGATAAGAGGCGAGACAAACTAGGACACTAGAGGAAATTTAGACTCTGACACCACAGCTACAGCAAACAGTAAAAAAAAAAAAAAAAAAAAAAAAAAAGCCTAACTCCTAGCCAGAAAAACATAAAACTTCACACTAAAGATCTATTTGCCTCAACTCCTTCTAACTGACACATTGTATCTAGCTTAAAACAAAAAATTACAAGGCATGCTAAAAGGCAAAAAAACAGGGAAAGCATAAGAACCAGCCTCACATATGGAAGAGATTTTGGAATTATCAGAACTGGAATTTAAAATCACTATTATTAATATGTCAAGAGATCTAATAGAAAAAGTAGAAAACATTAAAAAAAAATTGGGAATGTAAGCAGAGAGATGGAAACTGTAAGAAAGAATAAGAAAATGTCAGAAATCAAAAACAGTGTAACAAAAATGAAAAATGTCTTTGATAGGTTTATCAGTAGACTGGATGTGGCCAAGGAAAGAATCAGAGAGCTTGAAGATATGTCAACAGCAACTTCTCAAATTAAAAAATCAAAGAGGAAAAACGAATGAAAGAAATGGAAAAGAATATCCAAAAACTATGAGAAAATTACAAAATGTGTAATGGAAATAACAGAAGGAGAAGAAAGAGAAGGAAAAACAATAAATATTTCAAGTAATAATGGCTGAGAATTTTCCAAAATTAATGAGAGAAAACAAACTACAGATCTATGAAACTTGGAGAACATCAAACAGGATAAATATAAAAAACAAAACAAACAAAAAAAAAACCTGGGCATACAATATTCATACTGCAGAAAATCAAAGACAAAGAGAAACTTGAAAGAAGCCAGAGGAAAAAAAAAACCTTATCTACAGAGGAACAAGGATAAGAATTACACTGAACTTCTCTTCAGAAACCAGGCAAGCAAGAAAGTGGAGTGAAATATTTAAGCATTGAAAAAGAAAAACCATCAACCTAGAATTCTGTATCCAGCAAAATTATCCTGCAAAAGTGAAGGAGAAATAAAGACTTCCTATAACAAACAAAAATTGAGGGAATTTGTCACCAGTAGACTTGCTTTGGAGCCCTGGTGGCTCAGAGTTTAAGACCTCGGCTGCTAACCAAAATGCTGGCTGTTCGAAAACACCAGCTGCTCCTTGGAAACCCTATGGGACAGTTCTACTCTGACCAATAGGGTCACTATGAGTCAGAATCAACTCAACAGCAACGAGTTTGGTTTTGCTTTAGACCTGCTTTGCAAGAAAGGTTAAAAGAAGCTCTTCAGAGAGAAGGAAAATGATATAGGCCAGAAATGCAGCAAGAAAGAGCAGGAGAGAAGGAATAAATAAAGACAAAATAAGTATTTTATTTTTCTTATTCTTAATTGATCTAATAGATATCAGTTGGTTAAAAAATAATAGCAACAATGTATCAGGTGATTTAGTTTATGGAGAAGTGAACTGAATGACAATAGTGTAATAATGGATGCAAGAGAGGAACTGGGATTATTCTGTTATAAATTACTTGTACTACACACAAAGGGAGCCCCGGTGGCACAGCGGTTAAGTGTTAGGCTGCTAACCAAAAGGCTAGCAGTTTAAATCCACCAGCCACTCCTCGAAAACCCTATGGGGCAGTTCTACTCCATTCTATAGGGTCGCTATGAGTCAGAATCGACCCACTGTCAACAGGTTTGGTTTGGTTTCTGGACACACGAAGTAGTATAGTGTTATTTGAAAGTAGACTTAAACTGTAAATGTATACTTCAAAGTCTAGGTGAATAGCTAAAAAAATGTTTTAATGAAGTGTAATTCATATGCTGAAAAAGCAAAGAAAATGAAACAATATTAAACGCTCAGTTAAAACCAGAGAAGACAGAAAAAGAGTGGAAGACAGAAAAAAGAAACAAAGAAAAAGAGTAACAAAGAAAAACAGTTACAAATACGGAATATATAAAACCAAATATACCAATAATCACTTTAAATGTGAATCATCTAAGTACACTAATTAAGAGACAGAGATGTCAGAATGATTAAAAAACTCAACTATATGTTTCCACAAGAAACCCACTTTAAATATAAAAACAAAGATAGGTGAAAAGCAAAGGACTGAGAAAGATATAGCATGCTAACACTAATCAACAGAAAGCTGGAGTAGCTATATTTCAGACAAAGACTTCAGAGCAAGGATAATTATCAGGAATAAAGACATGCATTACATAAAGGGACCAATATGGAATAATAACGCTCAACGCATACTGCCTAACAACAAAGTGCCAAAACACATACGGCAAAAACTGATAGAAATGCAAGGAAAAAATGGAAAAAATCCACTATCATAGTTGGAGACTTTAACACTTCTCTATCAGTAATTGACACATCCAGCAAGCAGAATATCAGTAAGCATATAGTTGAAATGAACAGCACTATCAATCAACTGGATCTAATGGACATTTATAGAGGATTTCATCCAGTAACAGCAGAATACACATCTTTCTCAACCTCACATGGAATATTCACCAAGATAGAATGTGGGTCACAAAAAGACCCTTTAACAAATTTAAAATAAGAGAAATCACAAAAAGTAAGCTCTCAGACCACAATAGAATTAAACTAGAAGTCAGTAACAGAAAGACAGCTAGAAAATGCCAAACTATTTGGAGTAAACAACACACTTCTAAATAACACACAGGTCAAAGAAGAAGCTTCAAAAGAAGCTTAAAAGTATTTTTCAATAAATTAAAATGAAAATAAAACTTACCAAAATCTGTGGAATACAGCAAAAGCAGCCCTTGGAAGGAAATTCACAGCAAATTAAAAAAAAAAAAAACCAACCCCTTGCCATCGAGTCAATTCCAACTCACAGCAACCCTATGGGACACAGTAGAACTGCCCCATAGGGTTTCCATGGAGCAGCTGGTGGATTCAAACTGCCAACCTTTTGGTTAGCAGCCGAGCTCTCAACCACTTCACCCCGAGGGCTCCATAGCACTTAATACATGTACTAAAACAAAAAAAAAGCAAGCTCTGAAATCAGTAATCTAAGCTTCCACCTTACAAAACTAGAAAAAGAAGAGTAAATTAAAATAAAAGCAGGAAGAAGAAAAACAAGAACTACTTCGGGCACTTTTAACAAAATATGTATAAGACCTCTAGAATAAAAACTATAAAAATCTGCTAAGAAAAATTAAAGACGACCTAAATAAATGGACAGATATACCATGCTCATGGATTAGAAGACTAAATACTGTCAAAATATTAATCTCCCCAAATTGATCTATAGATTCAATTAAATCACCAGCATATGTTTTTGTAGAAATTTACAAGCTGATTCTATATCCTCTTTAGAAATACAAACATCCTAGAACAGCCACATCTTGTGGTGTTAGAAAGTAAGGAAATGCTCAAACATGGGGTGTGTCGAAAGGACACAGGAGCCAAACTGAAAGAGCTCCTAATGATCAACACTGGAACAATTTAAACAACAAAATAAATAATGATAGCTTTGGATAATGAACCTTAGAATAAAATTTAAATATCCATTGGTCCATATAGACATACATAGAAAATTAAATAAAATTAAGTAAGACAAAGAATAGCTCATCCTTACAGAAGAATTCCAATTAATAAATGTAGAAAGAAAAAAGGAAACAGAAAACCATAATTGGGTAAACACCACAGTAATAACTGTCTCAGAGAAGATTCACTAATATATGCTAAAATTAATAAGAAAAATTTTCAGGGAAACAGAATATTTGCATATTACAAAGTTTCTCCCCCAAGATACTTAAGCACAAAATGAAAAACAGTAATTTTACAGTGAAGAAACCGAGCACACACCACCTTAACCAAGTTTTCAAGGTTATTATCACTGATAATAAGACATATTAACACAATGAACTCCTTTATATGATGCACTGAGAAGAACATATCGCTTCTGCGGTATTCTTACTAAAAATGCGTAACTTCATTCTAATCATAAGAAAACATCAGACTAACCCAAATACAGGAGTATTCTACAATAATTGACCAGTACTTCTGAAAAGTGTCAAGATCATGAAAGAAAAGTGAAGAATGAGGAACTGTCAAAGATAGGAAGAGGCTACAAAGATAGTACAACTAAATACAACGTGGTATCCTCAATTGGATGCTGGAATAGAAAACGGACATCAGTGGAAAAACTGATGAAATTCAAATAAGGGCTGTAATTTAGTTAACAGTATTGTACCAGTGTTTGTTTCCTGGTTTTGATAATTGAATGATGGTTATATGAGATGTTAACATTACAGGCATCTAGGTAAAACGTATACAGGAGTTCTCTGTATTATCTGTATAACTTTTCTGTAAGTCTAAAATTGGTTCAAAATAAAAGAAGTTAAACATAAAGTTCTGGAAAAACTACAGTGATAGAAAGCAGATGAGTGACTACAAGGGAACTTTTCTGGATGATGGAAATGTTATATATCATGATTGTGTTGATGATTACATAACTATATTGAGTTGTCAAAATTCACTGTATTATGCACTTAAACTTGGTGAATTTTATTGTATGTAAATAATACTTAAATAATATTTACAATAAAGGATTCCAGACATAAATATAATCTTTTTTAAAAAAAAAAGTTGTTGGGTTGAATTCCCCATATAAGCAGAGTGCACAGGAGAGATATATTCTTACCAGATTAATTAACTGAGTGTGTACCACATCTTCTACCAAAACTGCTGTTTCATGAAGAGGCCTCCTAGCATCTCCTAAAGAAAACCTGCAAAAAAAATTAAACACACCAACGTTAAAGGCTGTGAAACTAAGAAAGGCAAAAAGTGAAAAATATTTAATAAAAAGAATCTGCTTAAGAAAATACAAATCATTCTTTCAAATGAAAGATTGGATGTACAATTTTCTCTAAACAAAGCAAATACATATCATCTACACAAGCAATAAATTCCAAAGAAAAATGTATGCTATTTCTTGATTTGTGTAGTACATTTTTAAAGGGCATTTACTGTTTTCAAAATGCAAAATACTAACAATGATTCCATAATACTGGCAACTGGAAAATCATGATACCAAACTATTAATACAAAAACATAGTAACAGCCATAAAGAAAGTTACAAAAGCATGTGATATAATCAAAATGAATGTAGGTAAGAAAATTTATGTTAATGCCATTTAAATTATAATTTCTGGTTACATACAAAATAGATAATCAAGAATGGATAACACAAAACTGATCTTAAAAGTCATCTTCCCAACTTTCATTTCTGCCAGTACGGTGGACTAGATTTGTAGAGAATCCCGTCCTGGTAAAGAGCACCTAAAATGCATGATAATATTTTAGAAACTTACTTTTAAATCATCCCTTAACTAGCAGTGAAGAAGATAAAACAGAAGTCAGACAAGATGAGAAAATACAGTTCCAAAGAGTAAGGGAGTATAGAGTCAAGATTTATTCTGAAGACATATGCATATTCATAGCTTAGAGCCTAGTTTTGAACTAGCAAAATATTCAAAGTAAACAAAAGAATGCTGAGATCCCATACAAGGTAGGAGGTCAGTTTGAAGAAGTCTATATGGCATTGGGAAACCTGCACTCTGTGATGGTCATACCCGCAGTGTGTAGACTAAGAAAATACCCACTCCACAGAAGGAATGTTGCCAATCTCAGCCAAGACTCTGAGCGGAAAAGAAAAAAAAAATTATTTTCTGAGAACTGTTAACTATAAATTCACATTCATGACTACTGCTAGAATATCTGCTACCCAGATTTCTTAAAAAAAAAAAATAAAGCCAAAAATTAAATTAAAGTGATTTTATATTGATAGTGTCCATAGGCCACTTCACAGAAACAAACACAAATCATCTCTTGAAGAGCACATTTTAAACAGAGACCTTGAAGAATTCCCACAGATGATATGTCAGAAGCCATAAGTTTAAAATCAAAACTCGGTACATACATAAGGAAGAAATTCACTATGAGTGAGAGTGAGCAGAATCAACAAACAGTAGAATCAGACCCACAAAGGCTGTAGATCCTGAAACAACCAGATTATTTATATGTACATGATTCATGTTTTAAAAAAGAGAAATGAAAAATATACATAGGAACAAAAAACTATCAAAATTGGTTAGTTATATTTGAAAAAGCACAAAACAAATACAAATTAAAAATACGATAATATTATTTTAAAACTTAATAGATTTAAGAGCAGGCTAGATGTAGCAAAAAAGATAATTAGTGTTCAGAACAACAGATCTAAGAAAATTACTCATAATACAACATGGATAAGAAAATATGATCAATAGTTTGACAAAATTTGGATACTGTGGTAAAATAGATAAATTTCTAGAAAAACATAAATGACTAAACTGATTCAAGAAGAAACAGACAACCTGAATTGTCCTATAATTTTTTAAGAAATTGAATCAGTAGTAAAAAAAAATCTTCCTTGTTTGAAGTGTTCTACCAAACATTTGAAGAACAAATCATTCTTAACTTGACACAACTCTTTCAGAGAATAGAAAAAGACCTTCCCCAATTTTCTTCTGAAGCTAGTATAACCTTGGGATCAAAACTAGAAAAGAACCATGAAAAGAAGGACATTACAGATAAATTTTACTCATGCACATAAACAAAATAAAAATATTAATAAAACAAAACATTAGCCAAGTGAATACTGCAACGTATTTAAACAAAGAATAATATATTATGACCAAGACATGTTTATCAAAGGAAAGAGGTCAATATTTTTAAAAAATCTATTAGTATAATTAACTACTTCAAAATATGAAAAGAGAAAAAAATATATGATTATTTCAACAGATGTAGAAAAATCACTCAACAAAATTCAACAACGATTCAAGACAAAAACTTTCAGCAAACTTGGCATAACAGGTAATTTATTTAATCTGGTAAACGGAATCTACCAAAAAACCTATAAACCTAAAACCAAACTTGTTGCCGTCGAGTTGATTCCGACTCATAGGAAACAACATATGCGGAATCACTCATTCCCTTTGAAATCCAGTTAAGGATGCCCATTATAACCACTGTCAGTTAATATAATACTGAAGATTATAGCCAGAACAATAAGACAAGAAAATACTGAAATTATATAAGTATTGGAAAAGAACTAAACCGTCCTTATTCACGGATAATCTGAATCTACACAGAAAACCTAAAATAATCAAGAAATTATTTATCTGAATTAATAAAAAAAAGATAGCAAGTGTTTCAGTTGTAAGATCAACCTATAAAAATCAGTTACATTTCTATTCATCATCAACAAAAAGCCAGAAAATACAATTTTTAAAAATACATATTGATTCTAAAATTTATATGAAAGGGTCAAGGGCCAAAAACAGTCAAGAAAGTCTTGAAAAACAAGGTGGGAGGATATGTTCTACAAGACTTATAAAAGCTTCAGTAATTAAGATAGTATGTTATTTCACTACTGGGGAAGTGAGCACAACTGGACTAAACCAAAGCTAAGAAGTTTCCTGAATACAATCAAATACTTTGACAGACAGAGTAGCAGGGATGCGGGGTCTGGGGACCATGCTTTCAGGGGACATGTAGATCAACTGGCATAACAAAGCTTATTAAGAAAATGTTCTGCATCCTACTTTGGTGAGTGGCATCTGGGGTCTTAAAAGCTTGCACGGGGCCATCTAAGATGCATCAATTGGTCCCATCCACCTGGAGTAAAGGAGAATGAAGAACACCAAAGACATAAGGAAAGTATTAGCTCAAGAGACAGAAAGGGCCACATAAACCACAGACTTCATCAGCCTGAAACCAGAAAAACCAGATGTGCCCAGCTACCACCAATGACCGCCCTGACAGGGAACACAACAGAGGTCCCTGATGGAGCAGCAGAAAGATGGGGTGCAGAAATCAAATTCTAGTAAGAAGACCAGACTTAATGGTCTGACTGAGACTAGAGGTACTCTGGAAAGCATGGCCCCTGGATTCTCTATCAGCCCAGAACTAAAACAATTTCCAAGGCCAACTCTTCAGACAGGAATTGGACTGGACTGTGGGACATAAAGTGATACTCGTGAAGAGTGTGCCTCTTAGCTCAAGCAGATACAAGAGACCAAAGGGGCAGCTTCTGTCCAGAGGTGAGATGGGAAGGCAGAGAGGGTTAGGAGCTGGTTGAACGGACATGGGGAATCAGGGGTGGATGGGGGAGTGTGCTGTCACAGAATGGGGTGAGCAATTAGGGTCACATAACAATGTATGTATAAAATTTTGTATGGGAGACTAACTTGAAACGTAAACTTCATTTAAACTACAACAATAAAAAAATAAATAAATAAACACAATGCGTTATTGGTGCAAGGACAGACAAATAAACCAACACAACAGAAACAGAAAGGGAAACCCTCATTAGAAAGTAAACTCCACAAGGGCAAAAAATCTTTGGTTGTGTTTGGTTATGTTTAGTATTGAATACTCTGAACTGTCTGCACAATGCTCCTTTTCCATTATTATGTTACTTCACGTCTCACTGTACAAAAAGCACAGTCATCAAAGTTAACTGTTCTGAGAAAGGCTTAATTCACTAATTGGCTCACTGATAAAACTACATACTCAATTCACTTATCTAATAAAAATATTTTAAAAATAATTCTTATGTCAATAAAATGCACAAATAAATAGCAAGTTATACTTCAAGCTTTTGTAAGTTAACACTTTTCTACTAAATATAGTCCTCATTAACATAAATATGTAAAGTGTCTTCAAACCACCTATAAAGACATATAATCAGGTGTGCCATTTGATAAATACGTTATTTTAATTATCAGATTGTTGGTACTTCAGCTTTTTCCCACAGTTTTTCTCACATTACTTCTGCCAGTTTTTTTTCCCCCTAACACACAGAAAGCTAGATATTGGCCTGGTAGTTTTTGCAAAACAGAAATGAAAACCACTATACCCAGCCAAAGTCACTTCTTTTTTGCTCTGCAATGTATGATATTTTTAAGCCACTTAAGGACAAAATCTAAGTAATTGATAATTATACAAATCTTTTTTTTTTTTTTTCCCCTTAAGGATCCATTGACCACTCACTGATGCCTTGACTGACTTGCCCTGGGTCTATTCCCAACCAAGACAGCCTAATAACCAATCCCTACACAGATTGTCTAGATGACTGTAAGAACACCAGTACTGCTGGACCAGCCTTCACTTAAGGTTTTTCAGGTAACTTTCCTAAAAAGGTTTGTCCCTCTCCTTGTCTCTTGCAGTAGCTTCATCGCTATACCAAACTATGCTCCAATTTAGGAAGGACTGTGACTCTGATAGCCATGATCACAAGCAGGAGGTCCAGAGCAATCCTGCAGGATTCCACTGGGTAATGGTAGTGTGGAAGAGCCACTTACACCCTACATTCTCACCCAAAGCAAGATTGCTTTCATTCAATCCCAGGATCAAACATCTCACTGAGCACTAGGGCAGCTAACTCTGCAATTCCCTTGTCAAGTGCATAATGAAAGTATGAAATGAAACCACCCATGAAGTGGAGTTAAACTCATTCTGTACACTTATACTCAGATACAGGAAGATGTATGCTGACCAAAACTACGGGATACTGTCCCAAAATGCCTGAAAAACTTATAAATGACCCATTCTGTATTTTTCCATTATGTGTGCCCAACACAGTCTAAAATTGGGGGAGAGCCTTTAAATAGACACCTATTAAAGAAAAAAAAAATTCTATAAATAGAAAGTGCCAGAACAAAAGAGAAGAAAAGAACTA